AAATTTTGGAGGTTATGCTAAATGTTCGATATATTTCTACGAAACTATTTTGTTCATTTTTGAAATCATCGTATTGTGGTTCTAATGGAGTTTACTCGGTTATTTTATTACAGTTAAAAAGGATTGATATTTTATACTGTTTATTTCTTTTGATCAAAATTTTGGAGGTTATGCTAAATGTTCGATATATTTCTACGAAACTATTTTGTTCATTTTTGAAATCATCGTATTGTGGTTCTAATGGAGTTTACTCGGTTATTTTATTACAGTTAAAAAGGATTGATATTTTATACTGTTTATTTCTTTTGATCAAAATTTTGGAGGTTATGCTAAATGTTCGATATATTTCTACGAAACTATTTTGTTCATTTTTGAAATCATCGTATTGTGGTTCTAATGGAGTTTACTCGGTTATTTTATTACAGTTAAAAAGGATTGATATTTTATACTGTTTGTTTCTTTTGAGCAAAATTTTGGAGGTTATGATAAATGTTCGATATATTTCTACGAAACTATTTTCTTAATTTTTGATATCATCGTACTGTGGTTCCTATAGTGTATTAAAGCTGTTACGTTGTCGAAAATCGTGGGTATTAACGTAATATTATTTCGATACTAAAAGGAAGATCTTTTTCACAGAAATAAAATCGTTTTTCTGACGAACATCGTGACAGACTAAATAACAAAGATATTCTTCTATTCAATAATCTAACATGAGTGTCGAATAGGGGGAATTTAATTTCAATTCTTTCTTCATAAAAAAAACTTGCAAGAATTAACTCGTCGATTTAAATAACTGAACACAGCACCAGACTGTATTATAGGTTGCATAGGTCGAACTATCAAACGTGAAAGTGTTAATTTCAAAATTAAATTACTCACAATCACGATTTACCCATTTTCCAAACGCATTATTCTTCCATGAAACGAAATCCATTTACACATTTAACCACAGAAAAACCGGAACCATTGAACACGATATCGCGCCTGCAATTCGATCAGAATCACTCATCAAGATCGCAATCTCTCTCTGGCGCGCGCGCTCGCGACGGACCAACAAATTGCCTCGGATCGTCGTTCGAGGCGCGTTTTTCAAAAACCAGCGAACAAGATGTGATGGATCACGGCGTCGCAGATCGATACTCGAGACACGCGATAATCGTCGCGGGTGGGCTCTAGTGTTACCTGTATTCCGTGTCTGCTGGCACGCGAGTGTTTCTTCGCGAGGTCCACGACCTCTTCTCGCGTTGCTTACACGCCCAAACCGATGGACGAATAACTAGAAATCATTCTCGAAAGATTGTCCATACTCTGATTAACCCTTATGTCGATAACCGGGTACCCTTTTGCATAATTCTCATTTAAAATATTTCATCTTCCAGGTAAAAGAATTAATTTGTTATTTCGCACATTTCCTATCCCTGTTTGCCTCGAGTTTAGAATTTTGTCATCAGAAAACTGCTAAAATTGGACGATAAAGTAGACGATAATTGTAGTTATCGACATAAGGGTTAATCTGAAGCTTATCCTTCCAAATCAAACTTGGATACAAAAAAAGTACCTTTATAATACCGAAAATTATTTCGCTAAGGATCGAGTATTTAAATCGAGGATACTTTTCAACCTCGAATTCTCCCGGCGGAATCGATGAAAAATTTCGGGTACTGTGTAGCATAATTATCCGAGCTAATTGCACGAAAAAGAAAAAAGAAGGAAGAGAGGCCCGAAAAGCTGCGGCGTGTAGGGGAAAAGTAAGGCGCAGCGCTGGCCAATTTCTGCGTGACTCGGTCGTTTGCTTAATTGCTATGTGATAACCGACGAATTAATTGTTGGTAATTAATACTGGCTCGTTAGTATGCGATTAACGTGCACGGTGTGTCTCGCGTTTTTACGGTTTCGTTTTCTCCTCCCTGCGTTCTCTCTCTCCCTCTCTCAATGGTGATTTCCTCGAACTCGAAATTTCTCGACCGCGCGGTAATTAATTGATGATTATCGCCTGATGCGTATGTACATTATCGTTAGCCGGCAATTCGCGAGTAAGACATTCAAAGTGGTGTGTGCAGCCTAACCGAGAAGGAAGATAGTGTCAATTTTGATGAATTCGAGAGGCTGTTAGGGAGAAGATTGCGAAAGAATTTTTTAAATTGTAGCAATTAAATGTGAATTAAAATTGTAAATAATATAGAATTATGTAGAAACTTGAAAAATTTTAATTAATTGAAGTGAGATGAAGGTTAGGAAATAATAATTCGAGAGCTTTTGTAATTTAGAGCTGAATATTTTGATATTATATATTTTAGACATTATATACAGGGTGGGCCATGTGAAACGAGCTACCTAATTATCTTCTGTAGTTATTAAATGGTTTCAAAGAGTAAATATGATAGAAGAAAATTTTAAGACAATAATATCAACGAAAAATATAAAAATATAAGACAAAAAAGGGAAGATATTATCTTTGTTACTATTTTACGAAAATAGAGTAAAAAAGTGTGATTAATTTATCACGTTCAATATTTTCATTCTCGCTTAAGGTAAAAGAAATTAATATTTAACATATTTTCTTCTTTAATATTCAACTTTCTATCAGATTGAAATCACTGTTACCTTTATACAGATCGATAATTTCACTTCAAACGGAAAACTTACAAACATTTTTCTCATTTTTATTTCAAATATAGATTTGCTAAATTCTGGACCGAATATCGGTAAACTTTTACGTGGTTCGAATAAGTATATCAACGCTAACTTAGAAAATATGCTTTCACAGGCTGCAGCAACCAGTTATTCGGTTCTCCGTTTCAAATTATCATACGTGCGTTGCATTCTTGTATCGCGTGTCTTGTTGTGCCTGAAAATCCACGTGCATTCGTAGAATTCATTCTCATTTGATCTCCTCTCTCTACTGTCCTAAACATGCGTGTTTATTTATCGCGTTAAGTTCATTCGCACTCGACACTCGTAAGAGGTCGTTCACTCTTGTCATATTAAAGTTCGCAATATTTCTTACTGTATTTTTCTTCTTTTTTTTTTTTCTTCTTTTAGTAAACAAACTGATTTTGCTTAATGGGAGCAATTATCATTTATTCCATTGGTAAAATCGTTCGTAAAATTCGTATAAAATCGTAAGAAAATTGATCATGGAAAACAATCTTTCTCGCGCCATGTTCCTCCTTCGAAATCGTTCACTTTATGTTATAAACATTTTCCACAATCATTGAAAACAAAGGAGATATTTAGGTATTCAAATTTTTCTGAGACACCCTGTATACACATTTCTGGTCAAATCCTTGTATTTCTCGTTATTGAAAGGAGTCGAAGAATCAATTTGCGGAATAAGTATCAAAATTTCAGCCACTCAGAAGTGAAAATGGCTAACTCTATAAAATAAGACGTATCAAATTTCTTTTACTTATAATAAATTAAACACTAAGTAAAATTGGAAAAATATCAGAGATAAAAGTAAAAATCGTTAAAAAATATGATAAAAAGAAAGGATTCTGAATGGCTCATTCGATAGAGTGTACATTCCTGAAAAATTGTCAACGACAAGTAATCTTACATTTAATAGATAATCTTCAATCACGTCGCACACTCCGAGTTCCGTAATTACCTTGGAATATTCGAACCGTGACTGAAACTAGGAAACGACATGAAAAATTACGTTAGGAATTCTTTCGCCCGCCGAAAGAGTAATTCTGAATCTGAAGGAAGTTTCATATGATCGTTCCTCTCGTGAGTTAGGAAATGATAAAAACGCGATCGTAAGTGAGACGACAGAGGGTGGCCTACGGTGTTGCGGACCTCACAGCGAGATTTTATGGGGACCTATAAAAGGAGCATACCAGCGAGGACTTTAAATGATCGCCGTCTAGTTGCTTGGACCTTGTCCAATGGTTCCCTATATTATACCAAGATAAATAACGTAGACAGGATGAACTGTGGAGTAGCTTACCCTGTATAAGGAATGCATTGTAATAGCCTCACAATTCTTAATTCATTAATGTCCATTCAAATAAGTCTAGAGGGAAGGAGGGGTAATGTTACAGGTGGTATTTCCTTTGAAATATTGCCTTTCTTAAACGGCATCGATTTGCTGAGAAATCAGAAATTAACAATGGTATTGGGTTGGTGCAGATGAAACTTTAGATACATTGTGTTTCTTCACAAAATAATGTGTTATATTTCATCGAAATTCAAGGATTAACTAGTTTCGTTATTCCAAATTTATGAAAATCGTTAGTCTTTGAAATTAAAAAATTCTCGAATGCTGCTTTACAGTGTCTTCATTTGAGAATAATTTATTTGGGGAAAGATCGAGTGAATGGGGAATGTCGATTGCTTTCTATAATTTTTCTTAAAACTATCTGGCCTTATTCTTGACTCATTTTCAATGAAAAGTCGCATAATGTCTAAACAATTGTATTATACATGTGTATTACATCAAATTCTTTCTTTTCGATTACTGTGTACAAAAATTGGTGTCGGGCAAAATGTAATATATGATATCATTTGCACCAAACTGATTTTAAGTAAGTAACAGAATTAGGTAAACGTATAATTTCACATTTTCGTGTGAATCTGAAGGATAGAGGGATGTAAGAACGGGCTGTTAACTAAAAAGTACTATTACCTATATGATAAACTAGAATTGTACCTTAGTAAGTAACAGAATTAGAATCTAAAAATTGAAAGGTTCGTTTAATGTACAATCTAGTTCTTTACGCACAACTAGCGCCACCACGGTACCCGTAACTCCATTAAAGCTTCCCTTATATCAAACTAAAGCAAACTAACAAACTAACTAAATAAATAAATTCACAAGCAATTATAATTTTGTCTTTTAAAAACTATTGCTTTCGAAAAGTTCCACTGCAAAAGTGTGCTCACGATTGCTCGATCGTAGCAAAGAATGCTCAGATTGCTCTGAGCTGAGACACCGCGTATTAAGCTCTGCTTGAACAAGGTTGTTTATCAAACTGTACGATTTGTTTCACCAGGTGCCAGACATAGGAGCCGAATTAACGGGTGGCTGTTATGGTTTCGCGGCAAAGTACATGCATTGGCCTGAGGAGCTGCTCGTCGGTGGTGCTAAGCACAATAAGACTGGTCACTTGACCCGTGCAGCTGCGCTTCAAACCGTTGTACAGCTGATGGGAGAACGAGAACTTTACGATTTTTTCGCCGGCACGTACAAGGTACACCATATAGACTGGTCCCAGGAGAAGGCGTCCCAAGTGCTCGAGACCTGGCAACGAGCGTTCAGCAATCAAGTGAAGAAACATCTAGATGCAAACGGCTCGGCTCCGTACAATTTGTATGCGTTCAGTACAACAACCATGAACGACATACTTGGAAAGTACAGCGAGGTGTCCGTTATGAAAATCGCCATTGGCTGCACATTGATGGTTAGTTTCAACTGTACACGTGGAAAAATCTATTCGCATGACTTCTAAGAGTAACGAAAACACGGATCTTTGGGTTTACCGATGCTGATGCACATTAAGTCGATGTGTATTGTATTTTAAAAATTGAATTTCAAGTTTACTTTTTTTTTTTTCGTGACATAGATCATTTATTGTATAATATAAAGAGGAGCATTTTTTCCACTTGCAAGGAAACTTCGGTAAACTGAAAATTCCAATTTTTCTGAAACTTTGTAGGATTTGCAAAGGACCTCGGTAGAGGTATCTGACAATTTCTTTTTTTTGCTACTTTTTGGTTCAGGGTGAAAACACCCCTTGAAGATTAGTGTGTTTTTCTATTTTTCTGTATGTATTGAAAACTATATAGTGAATATAGAAAAATCGTTGCAATGAAAATTTAATGCATATTTTTAAATCTGACAAAGATATTGTGTCACACTAAGCATTGTCATGAAATCGAGTTTGAAAATGAGTTTGTTGTGGGTCGTTGAACTTATCTCAGCAACCGCTTTAATATAATATAAAAGAAAATTATAGTTATCAATTTAGAAATATCCGTGGTATCGTCGTTTCATCAAACACCATTGCAAATTTTAAAAATCTACTCTAACCATCGCATTAGACATAAAAAGTAATTAAACTTCATCATCTTCTATTTTTCTCTTAAATCCACTACTTACGAGAAAAACTCTGGAGAAACTAATAGCGTGTAAACACCCTGTATATTTTTACCAACTTTCTGGAAGAAATGTAATTTAAACTAAGAAATTGGGGTTGCAAAAATCTGGAAATCACAGAAAAAAAGACCTTGTTTAACCAAATTTTAACCATTCTTCCCTTTCAACACCCCCGAACAATATACGTAAATTTCATTTTTAAGGTGTTGCAATTTTTTCGGCGAACAGTGTCCCACTAATAACGAACAGCAGTGTACGAAAGGGTAAAATATTTCCTACAACAATGATTCTGTTCCAGGTACTGTACGCCGGTATAGTCCTTCTGCGATGGAAGGATCCAGTGCGTTCCCAAGCTGGCGTCGGAATAGCCGGTGTGATGCTAATCTGCGCGACGGTTGCGGCAGGTTTGGGGTTCTGCGCCCTCCTAGGAATCCCGTTCAACGCAGCAACCACTCAGATCGTTCCGTTTTTAGCTATAGGTCTCGGTGTACACGACATGTTCCTATTGACGCACACGTACGCCGAACTCTCGGTGAACGAAGTGCCCAGCGGAGAACAAACAGGAGTAGTCCTCAAGAGGACCGGCTTATCCGTCCTCTTGGCAGGATTCAGCAACGTTTCCGCGTTTTTCGCCGCCGCGATAATCCCGATTCCCGCTCTCAGAGTATTCTGCCTGCAAGCTGGTATACTGTTACTCTTCAATCTCGCCGCTATGCTGCTCGTTTTCCCAGCTATGGTCAGTCTAGACCTGAGAAGACGTCGTTCAGGTCGCTCGGACATACTCTGTTGCTGTCTGCCGGCGAACACTGGCAGAAACAAATACGCCAATAGAACGAACAACGGCACGGCGAAGCAAACTGTAACGAGGGCGATCCCACCCGAGCGACGCGAGACCTGCACGCAAATTTTGACGTCGCAGAACATGCAGAACGAATCTTGGGTCGGCGGTAACATCGAGGTGGATCTGGACAAGCAGTGCAGCGAAGAAGACACTCTGACCGGTTGCAGTCAGGACGATTGTCTAAGTTTCTCCTTGACTCAACTGGCTGCGAGGCACTACGCACCATTTGTCACCAAACCGGCGACCAAGTTTTTCGGAATGATGATCTTAATCGCTGTTCTGGCCGGCAGTGTCTGGCAAGCGATAAAAGTGAACGACGGTTTGGAATTGACCGATCTCGTTCCACAAAATTCCAACGAACACGCCTTCTTGGCCGCCCAGGCGAAACATTTCGGCTTCTACAATATGTACGCCGTCACCGGCAGAGATTTCGAGTATCCGAACAATCAGAAATTACTGTACGAATACCACGACGCGTTCATGAGAATAAAGAACGTGATCAAGAATGACAACGGAGGATTGCCCGATTTCTGGTTGAGTTTGTTCAGGGATTGGCTGAAGGGTCTGCAAAACGCGTTCGATAAAGATTACAACAACGGCTGTATTACTCAGGAGAGATGGTATAAGAATGCCAGCGACGAGGCAATTCTTGCTTACAAACTGCTCGTGCAGACAGGCCACGTTGATAATCCGATTGACAAGTCGTTGGTTACCCAGGTCAGGCTGGTTGATTCCGAGGGAATCATCAATCCACGAGCTTTTTATAATTATCTTAGCGCATGGGTGTCGAACGACGTTCTGGCTTACGGCGCTTCTCAGGCGAATTTAAGGCCGGAACCGCGTCAGTGGATTTATACCAACGATCACGAGTTGAAAATTCCAAAGAGCATGCCTTTAACTTACGCGCAAATGTCGTTTTATCTGCACAAACTTACCGACACTCAAGAAATCACCGAATTAATTGGCAGCGTGAGGAAATTGTGCAGAAAGTTCGAGGAACGAGGACTGCCGAATTTTCCTTCTGGTATTCCGTTCTTATTTTGGGAACAGTACATGGACTTGAGAAGTTGTTTGGGCATTGCTCTGTTAGCAGCACTAACAGCCAGTGTTGCTGTTGTTGGAATACTATTATTAAACCTCTGGGCAGCTTTGTTAGTTGGCACTTCTCTCGGTGCTGTCGTTCTGCAGCTCCTTGGAATTATGGGCCTCTGTGACATAAAGCTGAGCGCCGTTCCGGCTGTCTTATTGGTTGTCAGCGTTGGAATTGCTGTGCACTTTACGGTGCATATTTGTTTGGTTGGTATAAATTATAAATTACAGAACTCGTTGTTTTTTATTTGTTCATTTTTTTTTTTTGTATTCTATGTGCTTGCTTTTTTTTGCAGAGTTTTGTTACAAGCATTGGAAGCAGGGACCGAAGAATTCGTTTAGCTTTAGAACACATGTATGCACCTGTTATTCACGGAGCATTAACAACCTTACTGGCGGTTGTAATGTTAGCCTTTTCCGAGTTCGATTTCATCGTTCGATATTTTTTCTTGGTATTACTCTGCCTCATCGGAATCGGTCTTGTGAATGGATTGTTCTTTTTCCCTATCTTGCTGTCTTTGATTGGACCATCTCCCGAAGTGATACCCAATGACCATCCGGATCGTATTTCAACGCCAACACCACCTGCCTCGCCAGTCGTTAGAAGATCGAAGCCGCCTGCACCTCCAAGAAGATCGTACAAAATTGATAACGCTAGGTTACACGCTGAACCTTCTCTGACCACAATCACCGAGGAGCCTAATTCGTGGCACAGTACGCAAGAATCTTGTATTATTGTGCAGCCAGAATTAAAGGTTGAAACGACGTCAACTTGTGGTAATCAGGTATGTAGTAAAATTAATATTGACCGTTTTGAAATATTTCTTTTTCCATTTGACAATTTTCCTCAAATATCCTTGAATGTTAAGAGTGCCTTTGAATATCTGCTATTCGCTTTCTATTTCTATAATTGCTTACTCACAGAATTGTTATATTAATACTTACTTGCTGTCCCCTTTATCTATGAAGCATGATTAACATGTGTGCTTTTGTTTTTAACTAACAGAACTGTAGCGGATCAGATACAAGTGGGTCTAGTCGAATGTCACCAGTGACGTCTACACCTCATATCACAACTAAAGTCACTGCGACGGCTAATATAAAGGTTGAAGTTCATACACCATTAACCAGTGAGTATCTATTGTAACATTTGGCTAAAAGTTTTTTTTGTTATAACCATAGTACTTACTTATGTAATACGTTAAGTTTCAATGTAACTTACTGGTGTAACCAATTTCATCAAGTTACCATTTTATACAATGTACTAATTTCTACGTGCAATTATTGTAGGTACAGTGGATCGTAGCGAAAAATGCAGGCACACGGGTTCCAGTAGCCGAAGGAGCTCGCGCTGCAATGCGAACGTTAATGCTGGGGAGTCTTCCGGTTCTGGTTCTGAACCGGATTCAGACTCTAACCCAAATAAACATTAATAATAAGTACCGGGAAGACCGGCAGCTACTGCTCAAATACCATGCAAAGCGGGAACATACAGAAGGCTGACTAGGATAGATTTAAAGTTTCTTCTCCTCTCTCTCTTTTAGTAAAATGTATAGCGATGTGCGAGTATCCAACGTTTAAATAATGATGGTTGTATTCGATGTAAATTCGCGTAAAGTTCTAATCCTAAAAGTGACACTTCTAAGCTCTCTTAATCTTTTGTAAATTAATACATAAAAGAGGGAACCAATGCACTGTCTATATGTTAATTGAAAAATATGAAATAAAATATGGAATATTGTGAAAAGTCAATGATCAGAATTTACTAGGTACTCTCACATCGCTATTGTCACTACGTGCTTGTCTTATTTGAATTAAAAACAAAAGTATTATGACTAAGAAGTACGTCTCGCTCACTGAATCGACACGCGCAGTGATACGTTGTATATAAATGTTCTCAAAGACGCATTTATATTTACATCATACATTCAATGCGGGGTACGCGTACGAATGAAATATTCGCCATTTTCTTTAGCGTATTGAATGTGTGATAATTTATTGGGATAAATAAAACGATATTTTTAACAAATCGACTTAGGAGCATGTCAAAGAACATACTTTACTACGCTCTGTGGTATACGACAGTTTCCATGAAACTATAAGGATATTATTTTACAAACTAGAAAAATTTTAACGTCTGTTCTATAATTGTTAATAATACGATGACGATTAAAAAGTGCAAGAGTTTCGGACGACTGTAGAATTTTTCTTAATAATTTCTCGTAAAGTTCATTATGCGAAACAGATATTTAAGTAATAACACTTTTTCAAAGTGCTTATTTGTCTGAAATACAGAACTTTATCGAGATGTTTTCTTTTTAGAAAATACAAATAGTATTATACGCATGATGTGTGCATTGAGATTTTCACGGACATTAACACATGATTTCTTTTTTGGAGTGAATAAAGTACATTTATTAAACCATTTGTACCCAGTTGGGTAATTAAATGGCCAAAAGTTTATAGATTACGTTTACGTAATACTGTTAGGGATATCTTCTTCTAATTTAGAAGTAATTAGAAAAAATGTAGCCTTTTTGTGATGTTTCTTGCAACGACTACAATGTGGTGCCTTGAAAAAGATTATAAAATTTCGAATAACTACTATTTATTTTATACGCTAACAGTTAATGTGCAGTGTGTATATGACTTCGAGCGATATTAAATCTAAAATCTATTTATTATTTATTTTTACGTTCTCACTTTGATATCACGACTATTTAAACCAATTCGTTTTGTACAATGCCTATTTCGTATGATAATTTGTAAAAATACTTAATTATTTATGTCGCCCTATATAATATTTTTATATAAAATCGTTACTTAATTTAATAAAATAAGTCAATCTATCCAGTTCGTACCTCTAATGTAAAAAGGTGTAATATATTATTCCGCAGCTAATATCTACGTTTATGTTTCGATAGGTACGTCACGGAATTATGTACAATAAGAGAAGTATTTTTATGTGAAGTCAATCTTGTAAACATACAAAATGCAGATAAGGTATTTAATGAAAAAGATGCTCTATTATAGATGTAGAATTTTTATTGTGCATAAGAAACATTTTTATAAGAAAAAGAATAGTCAATGTACCTCCATTGTGTGTCCTAAATTTTATCATAAACTCTTATCTGATTAAAATTATGATGAAAATACATGTGCCTTTTAATTGTGCCTTGAAACATAGAGCCAGTATTTTTCTTGATCTTGAAATTCAATTGGAGGTGCAACAGTTAACTTACTACTATGTTTAATGTTATAGAAGCTAATTATTTTTATATACTGAATATAGAAACAATTAATTGTATGATTTATAATCTTTATTTGTACATAAATATAATGATAATATTATAATAATGTGAAGTACACTTAATTACGTTTTTTGTTTCCTTATTCTCTTATTCTGAAAACATTTATCTAACAACTATCTGAAATGTAAATGCATAAAAATTACAAATTACCTTATGTTACAAATAAGGAATTTTTCATTTATACTATGCAAGTATTTCTATTCATTATCTAAACTTATTTATTGAATTAATATCTAAGAAAAATCTAGTTTCTAAAATCTCTATTAATCCCTTTTAAATTAAACAAAATTTAAGATCAGCTTATTTAATAATGTTCAAAATTTTAACTTGACTGCCATCATATTACTTATACTTTTAATTAATGTTACATTGTATATCAACTATGCGAGTACTTTATTATTTACCTACCAAAATGTTGCAACAAATAAATAAGCTTTGTTATGTTTGAAAAGAAGAATCTTGCAGAGTAGAAAAGTTTTTTATTAATATATACTCTATAAACCTTAAATTAATGTGTATTATCGTCACTCAAAACTTCCTTTTTATAAGAATACGCAATTGACAACCAGGTATTTAGATTTTAATTAATAATAAAAAAGTGTATAGACCTTATAAGGTATTATTAAATACCTTTCTAACATCGTATATCCATTTTCAGTTATTATAAGCTGCGAAGTAAGACATTTATTACATAAAACTTTTTCTAATCGTTAAAATTCAGATCACTAAACATTTTTTCCGCCAAAATAATAAATTTCAAATGTTACGAAACTCGAGAAAATCAAATGTAATTATTTAAATAGTTTCAACCCGAATAACTACTGTCAAATCATAAAATTTATAATTATTTCTAAACTTATTCAAGCCTAAATATTAACTACATTTTTTGCTTTAATATTTAATTTTCGTTTCTTTTACAGATTCTTATTACGTGTAATGCATATGCATGCAGCATTTCAATGCATCGAGGCATTCTGTGCGGTTTCAATGTCGACCACGGATTGGACCGCTAGAAATGCCTTAACCAATCAATTCTCGTAGTACTATCAAATTCGCACAAAACTCTTTATCTATGACAGTAGTACGGGAGTATGGTTTCATGCGATACGTACTGAAATCCCCGCACCTGTTTCAGTTTGAGTTGGAGTGAAAAGAGATAAACAATATATTTCCCGAGGCTAGGGTTCTTGCAAACAATGCACTTGCCTAAACTGGTGAATCATCTTCGGAGCTGCAGCACCTACGAGAATTTCTTATCGGGCTATATACCGTGATAGGCGCCTGCAAATAAGGCACAGTGCGTTATGCCAACCTGAGAGCACTCTCAGAGAGGATTGAATTGCAGTCGTATCGAGCGAATAATTGTTGTTCGTTTAAGAATAGTAGTGCATCCGAACGTACTTTTAATATCGTCACGTCAATGCACTCGAGTGTTAATTCTTATTTCTACCGAAGAATTACATAATGTATGTGCATGAGTCACAGGGTGAATAGGGGGGACGTGCAAACGTCAAAATCGTGCTGCAGCGATTTTCTTGTATTCTAGGTACAGTAAACAAATACTGATCGTCTGGTTGACTATCTAATTTAAATTATATCTTCCGCATACGACAATCATATAACATTGGATCGGTAATCTTCACTTGACACGTACATTATCATCATACACTATTCCAACCAATGTCGATTGTGCGAAGTGCTGCCATTAGAATTTTTGCAACGAGTACGTTCTCGTGTTAAACCTTGTAAGAAGCATTAAATATATCTTGGAAAGGAATAAAGACATTATAGTCGGTTGTCGCGCGACGTAATCGATTTTACAAAACTACTCGCGATAACATTTTGCGAAATTTTTGCAATTCGTATCTATTGGGACAATGACAGATACCGTATATTTCTCAAGGTTAAATGACTAATGGATAACTGCAATTGTAATAATACTACATTCACATAGTTTCGTTTACTTTTTTCTGTCGGGATGTACCTTTTTCGCGATAATGTGACGATAAAGAATGCATTTCGTTGTTAGCACGAGAACGTTATTAATTAGACGTACTATTTTATTGTAATATGCAATTTTACAATTTTTAAATATCGAATTATCTTGATTTCTTTAAGGTTAATTGTTATTTATGATTTTAATAGTCATTGCATCGCATGCTGTTTTTTTACTGACATTTCAGCTTGGATCTGTACAAGAAAGTCTGGCAGGGCATTTACGATGAGCAAGAAATACTATGCACCTTTTCAGTGAGTAAAAGGAATATCACTGAGAAATGGCAATTTTCAAATTGAAAATATTGAAGTGTAGGCGCATAATTTCATAGTTGTGGAAACTATCATCGTTTTATTATAGCGTGTGACCAGGTATTTGTTAATCAAACAAAGTAGCTGTTCGTATCGCATTTATTACTGAAAAATGCCAGCACCACCTCCACCTCTCTCAAGTTTGCCAGAGGCACCTATGTGTGAAAAAACAGAAGTAAGTGACGCGGACTCCCTGCCTCCTTGGGCCAAAATTACCCTCACATCTGTAGAGGCAGAAATTGAAAAGCTGATATCTCGAAATGAATTGAAGGATGCAGAAGTTACATATTTTTGTCAAGTTGAACCAATTCTGCAAGATGGACCACAGTAAATTTTTGTCTTTAATTTATTTGTAAAGTAAAGACATAACATAAATATCAATAATAATGATGTTATATTATTTAATAGATGTGGTCTGGTGGCACTTGCTATGGCATCACAAGAGTACACAAAGCCAGTTTCTGTGAGCCAACTGCTAGCTGAAGCACGTGTAAGGGGCTTCACGCAACATGGAGAAGTGTACAGTGTTGATTTTATGGGCACATTAGCAGCTGAATATTTACCTGACCATAGACCGGACATCTTAGTAGATTTACAGCAATGCCCAGATACATTAACACATGCTTTAGCTCATGGAGCAATAGTACTAATTCCATATGATTCTGATTTCAATCATGCTCCATGTTTAAAAAGAGGCCATAAATCTCATTGGGCATTACTTGTGGGTCTAATTTCATCTAGGTATGTTGCATTTCTTTATTATTACGTTTTAATTCAAAGTGCCTATACTCAAAACACATTGTACATATTTCAGACAAGGATATCATGTATTAGCACGTCATGGAAAATCACGACACTTAGCTTGTTGGCCGTTACGCGATTTGATCGAGAGTAATGGTAATTTGGAAGAAGAAGGAACAGCTAGACACGCCGGAGGGTACGTTATACCAAAGGGAGGAGTCGGAGGCCAGAGAGGTTTACGCGGTAGGGCACTGGCATTGCACCCATACATATAAGATCGTGTACAAGAATTGTAGGTAATTAATATCACAGTGAAAGACAGAAATTACTACTACAATATGACTGTATCCACGTTACAGTATATGGTAAATATTCAAAGGCATAACGTTTGCACAGCTGCTACAGAATTTAATTATTTATAAAATCGTGATGCTTTTAAGTAACATGTATTTCAATTTGCAATGCATTTTTCGGTTTACATTTAATGGGGAGTATCATGATTCTCAAATTCGATATTAGATGTGACTAACGGGTGATATTTCATTCGTTCAGTTCCGACACACAATGTAAATAATGATTTATCATGTATGTTTGACTTACACGCACGCGAACGATTTGAAAGATGCTTTCTTTCATTGTTTCGACGTATCAAGCTCTTCCTGTGATGCAGCACGTGTTGAGCGTAAAAAGAAAAAAAGTGGGCATGCACACGTGTATTAAAAAAAAAAAAAACAAATGTAGACGAACGAAAAAAAAAGAAGAAAAGTCTATAAAGAATATCTGCATAAAATAAATATTTAAGTGTACTAGCTAGGATTTATCGGAATCGTAACACTAGCCGGAATGAAAAGATTTAAGTATATTTATTTAGCAAAGAAACCGTAGGTTTTCGATCAATAATTATGGATCCTTGTTTTATGTTGGCATTGTGAATAAAGGCTAAATCTATAGCAACAGTCTCGCAATTGCATTTGAGGCAATACAACTTAATGTTCGTGTGTTATATCAGAATGGGCGCATTGCTTTTAAGATACGGAGCAAATTATTATCAATATTACAGCGATTTTCTTGTATATCTAATTCTTAATACATTCGGTAGATTAGCTTTGCAAATCATGTAAACTAAAAAATGTTTAATTATTCACTATAAAATGAACTTACATTTAGATTTATGACATATCGTTTTTGTACATAAAACAATCTTTGAAGCTTTATTATCTTATACGTAGTAATTTATAAATTATAAATTGCCTAAGAGATAGCGATATATACATAAATTATATCGATGGAAGTACATATTAAAATTTCATATTGAATTGAAAGCTTATTGCATGAAATGAAATTGTTCCTCCTTTATTTAAAATCCTAGTGAACGAAATCAATTTGCTTACTGAGTACATCGAAAATTAAATTTACTATTTAACAGATGCATCAATCTCTGTATCAAGTATAATATACATGCATCAAAATCGAAAATTTTGAAACCTATTGATAATTGGTGTTTATTCTATAAATAGATGTAGATTAGATACTGATCTATTATTTCAAGTGTCTTGAAAGCAACGCGCTTTAAGAGAAGAATCTTACTGTGTAGAACTTTACGATATGCTTGTTTTACTATATATTTATCGGTATGTAAAGTACGAGCATAGCGTCCTTTACTAATATCAATGCGTAACGATTGGACAAGCTATAAAAACCTGAAGATACCTTATGAGTGGCTGGTCTCTTCAGTTATGTGGTATCTTAAGCGTTTTCCGTCAAATTCATCAGATAAAGATGTATAAGACAGGTTCGAAAGAGATGCTATATTATTTGTAAACTCCATTAAGTGTTTTCGAATCGAATACGAACAACAAGGAGCATAAACCTTTAAGAAAAGAAAAAAAGAAATAATAAAAACTGTACCCAAGTGCCGCAAAGTAACGAGGTTCATTCATTAAAAAAAAAACGAAATAATTGTACACCGTGCCTGTTTTCACACCGAGAAGCTTCTCCGATTTATTGTCGCGTCAAAAATTAAAATACTCTTATAAAGAAACTAACGCTACTTGTCGGTGCACTACGTGGTTTTTCCGTTTCTATAATGTTTCTAACGATAATCAAAAACACATATTTTCTCTGCTCTAATCTAATCCAGTGAACTCGTGAATCGCAGAAATAGGAAAATAGAAATTTATCATGAGCGTAATAAAAATGTCTTCCGTTACTTACCGCGATACAGTCTTTTCACGGAGTCAAGGAAAACGAGTTCTCAGCCCTTATTTTATATCATTTAACATAATTTGTTGTATTATTAATCGATGGAAGGGTTAATTTTGATTAATGGAAAAATTTTCGAATTGTTCGAAAATTTTGGTTGTACCGAGGTAATTTCGTTCTATCGCACTTGTGTGATTTAAGAAGTGAAAAACAGACATGAACAGCCAAGAAAAAAAAGCGGTACGTCTAACGTGTTACGTTGTAAGAGATTAATATTGTGATCATTGTTAACACTTGTTTCTTTTTTCTGTAACTCGCGTATTTTACTTGATTTGTTGTCGGTATTTAGCTTTAAACGTGATATTATAAATATAAAGACATGTTATCATTTACACGCATGTTTTCATTAAGATTACTTTGTGTATTGTGTATCTTTCACTCTCTCTCTTTCTCTCTATCTCTGTCTCTCTCACAATTTTCTCTTTCTCGATATTTCTTTTATATTAAATAATTTAAAGAATATTCTATGCAAAATTGACTGTATCAGGTGTGGTTGGTGCTAGCAATTTTGTGAACTAGTGTGAGCAAAGTGTGCCAATTTATAACTTTCAATCACGAATTCTATACGGTGAAAACTTTACTTTTTTTCCCACCCTCTACGAATATAATAAACTTGTAGTACTATGTAAAAAGAAAAAAAACAATGAAAAGAAAAAAAAGAGAAGACTCGTAGAAAAGAACGATTACGTATTTCGGATGGTGTAGGTGCACTGGGATTGTAATAGAATATCGAAAACTGCGTTACATGTATATTTCAAGCTTACAAACATCAACAACATAGTTTTTCCCACTCTTATTCTTTAAATCATAGTTTCTCCTTATTGTTGCTTTCGTTTCTCTAAACATACAGAGTTACCACAAGTTTTCACTATTTTCTAATTATATTATATATCCACTTGTGTCCTGAGATGCGACTGGGAAATATTAACGTCTTGTTACTTGCCTTCTGTAAATACAAAAGTCTCTAAACGAGTCACTTTCGATGAGAATTTATCAGTTTCATCGCTGAGACAACGACGTTTACAGGCTCCATTTAAAATTTTGTCTTTAAGCGCGTAAAAGTGTCAAAAGTTAAATTATAAATATATTCACGGATAACACTAGACGAATAATTATATATTTCTCTATAAAACGAAGCTACAAACTATTTTGCCGTTTTATATTGTACTCTGCATAGATATAAATACACACACGTGCGCGTGCGCGCACATACACATACCCCTTCTCTCCCACACACATCATATATAAAACGAATATTCTGTACAACGATACACAGCGTCCACAATATAAAACGACCACGTGTTACGCCCAGGACACAAGCTATCTCTAATTATTCTATAGATTAATAACAATGATATCCTGTATCCGAATGTTACGTTCATAATATGTATCACATATAGGTATTTCATGTTCATTATATCAACAATAGGGGAGTTGAATTAAAAAAGGCTAGCGTTCACTTATTAGAAATTTATTTTCACTGTCTTTTCTCACTCTCACTTTCTCTCTCTCTTTCTTTTACTTCTCATACAACCGTAACGATCACTGGTAGGTCTACATATTTTTATATTGTGTCTATTTAAATTGTAGTTTAATAAAAGCTTTTTTTTTAAATCTTTCATTTTTCTCTTATCGCGAGATGATTAACAAAACGACCTCGTGCTGACACGATATTCATAATTCGTTCATTGGAGCATTTTATGTCGTTAAGTACGCGAATTAATAGATGCGATTCTACAATATTTAGCACTTTTCAAAGCTTATTTTCGTGTAAATACAAGACAAACATACACGTATTGTGTAATACTATTTTTACTTGTAATTAAAAACTTCTTATTCGTTTCAGTTATGGAATGAAATTTATTGCGAAGCAACGAGGTCCGTATAATTAATATATTTACGCGTCTATGTTCACAATATGTAAATCTTTTCAATGGCCTGAAAAAGCATAAAATAGCAGATACGTGTAAACATCTCGAGACACTCTTTTCAATGGTTAAACAATGTATTCGTCATTTTATCCCTAATCGTCTCAACAAACCTACAGAACTCTTACTCTGTTTTTTTACACGTCGTGTCATTTTATCCCTGTTTAATAACGTTCACGCAACACTGATGGAAAAAGAGAAATTATGCTTTCCTATTACGCGTTTTCAAAACTTCTTATTAGTTTTTAAAATTTAATGTAAAGAAAAGGAAATCGGTACAAAATAATTTGCAGCATTAACACAGAAAAAAATGGAAAAAAGACTTTGGCCACAGATGCACACAAAAGTACTGCTTTTCTAACTTTCTCTCTCTCTCTCTCTCTCCTCTCTCTCTTCGCCTCCATCAATCTTGTTCCCGTCGAAATGTCGGGATACATTTTACAGCCCTTTTAATTGAACTCTTTAATATTATTGATAACAAGATAATTATATGTACATGTATAGTTTAGACGTCGGTTTCCGTAAGCGCAATAAAGACGTCTAAAAAACGCTCGTGAAAATTAAACGGTGTATTTGATCGATCCATCTTTCTTCATCTTTTTTTTTTCTTTTTTAATCAATATTAAATTGCATATATCTCTCCTTTTAATTATTGTAAGCTTTGAGCTTGGGCCTGCCTGCCCACACATGATAAAACTTACTATACACCAACAGAAACAGTATTATCATAACAAACGTTTTTACAGTATACTCGGCCGGGCATACGTGCTCATGGTACTCGAAACGATAACTATTCGCATCTTTCTACGCTCGCTGAGGCGTTATTGATCCGCTCTTTTCTCTCCTATCCGCCGGACAAGAAGAAGCAACACGACAGAAAATCTTGCTGTATCGCAATGCTTACTACACGAATCAGTAACAATCCTTCTAACTTCGATTCGATTCACGTTGCGAATTCGGCACACACGGATATATGTATATGTATATTATCGAGTCTCGTTGGAAAGAATAGACACAATTTTTTCGTGCGTTTTGACTAGAATTAAGGACAATCTTCAATCGTCGTTAAGTCACTTTACGGGGAAATGTATTCTTCGATGAAGATTCTTGTGTTCGACACGTAACAACACGAATAGACGATGATACGCGGACTAAAGAAAATAATCGAAGAGAAAAAGAACGGACTTTCTTTACGGCGGTCGACGAGACCGTGAGCACGTGTCACGGATGTGTATGTTCGTCGTTCACACATTTCTTTTTCCTTATCTTCCTAAAGAGACTAAAATCTCATTTTATAAAGCTTATTAATTACACAATTTCGACGAGTCGCGACATCGAGTAAAATTTAAAAAAAAAAAAAAGAAAGGAAGCGTTCATTGGTGCAACGAACCAATTAATAATAAAAAAGGAAAAAAAAAAGATAAAATGAAACAGGACAAGATCGAGGAACATTACGACACGTAAAATCGCTTACACGCTAATCACTACCGTGAATTAAAAGAAACCAACTCGTCAATGTGTTTTTGCTTCAATACTGAATACAAACGTAACGTACAGTCACACTTTCTTGTTTCGTGTTTAGATACCCGAAAGTGTGCTTCCTTGCCGCGCGCTTAAGTCGTTCGAATTCACGATTATCGTGCGTATTCTGCAACACATCACGGACGATCCAGTGACTCGGGCTGTTCGTTGTGATTTCTTGGCTTTAGCACGTGTTTGTCTTTTGGCAATCGGTCGAATGTACCGAAGAAGCGAGTGACGCGAGTATATGAGATCTCGCCGATGCGCTCGTGAAGGAAAAACAACGATACTGTGCAAAACTGCGAAGCAACACTGTCAAATGCTACGTTCAAACTGTGAGAGCGTATATATACGTATACATATCGCATGGCAGGTTCGATTGCTGAATAACGATCCAGCATGTACTCAATGAAGCTGAGGCAGTTAATATCGTATGTATGCGTGTGTGCAGATACGTGTCACGTAACAACGTCCTTTTGCTGGCTTTTCATTGTTCGTGCGTGACCTGCTAGCATAGTTTCTTTGGTTTAGACTTTTTGCATTTACTTGTGTTCTTATTTTTCACGATGCTGTAGCTTCGGTTTTTGAAAACTGGGACAGGTTAATAGTACTTTTCTTTCTTTTTTTCGCAACTTGTGAAAAATTGTCGAATGGAAATTCTGCAAAAAGTTTATACTTTGCGAACTCCTCTTCTCTTTGACCGATTCAGTTATGTTTATACGCAAATGCACTAATTTGCAGGATAAAATTGTTTTTGAATTTTTCCTTGGATAAATTAATTTTTCTCCTTTAAAAGTTAATTTAAAATTAGATGGAATACTTGATTAAAATGTACAATTATGTACGATCAAATACGTTATTATTTATAGCGACAATTAGTAAAATGAAATTTTTTTCTTTTACCAATTTGTTTTTTCTTCAAAATCGTGCAAAATTGTTTGCTCGAAGCAATTATAGAATGCAATTTTATAAGGAAACAAATTTTTAAAATTGAAATCGATTAACATATTTCGAGTCTATTGTTAATCTTACAATAAAAAATATATCATTAAGATATTAATATTTACTTGTTAAGTAACTTGAAGATGTATTTCAAGAAATTATTGTAGGAATTGCTACTAAATTTGTTTATATGCTAGCCGTTAGTTTGAAACTTTATTCACATTTCTGATGTTCAACTACTGTTAATCTCTGGACAGAACCAAAAATTTTGGTAAAAACCATTTTTACTCGCAAAAGCATCTCGTAATTTCTTTCAATACTAATTGATCCGAATCAGAATTTCTAAATAATCAAAAAACCTTATCGCTGATAAACATTGTGATACACTTATCTATTATTTTTACACTTTATAGCATGTAGCATATCAACAGTTTTCAATATATTAAATACCCTATAATTGTTTCGAGCAATTCAACTATTTTTACTATCTTCAATTTTTTCAATTCTCTAACAAGGTCTGATACGTGACCACATCGTTCTAAATATTTAAAGATCGAAATAAATTTACTCCAAGTTTCGTGTCTAACCTAAAAATCCAGAGCGTTGCCACGTTCACACGCTGCCTCACACTACTTTTTAAATCAACTATCTCGCCAGGAGTTCATACAAACGGGTATTACTCTCAGCCGTTTAAGAATGTAAAATGTAGATATGATTTGCACAATTCGATACACATTACAAACTAATTGTGGACTAGCAAAGAACAGGGGAAAATGTGTGCATTGATGTTCGTATGTAAATACGTATGTCCGTGCACATTGAGTCTGTTTTGATTCATTCTGTACTAACAAAAACGCATGACAGAGAAGATTTTCTTTCTTAGGCGCGTTTCTTTGTTAGATAACAAAGTTGCAGGTATCTGTCTTTCTAGGAAGGGAAACTTTTTTCGTAATGCGCTTGATTAGTGCGGATCTAATCAAATAGGGCACAATGTACATTTGTTCATTTTACTCTGGCAAAACACAATATGTATTGCCAGTGTAAAATTAACAGTGCAATTTTTTCCTGTGTCCACATACACACACAGAGCATATATATAATGTTTTCATTGAGTTTATCTGGACAAGTAATGAAGTGATTCTTTTTTTAAATTTCTGTTCGTCTCTTTTTCTGTTTCGATTTGGCATTAGGCAGTCAGGGCGACGAATACGTCGCCGGAAACAATAAACAGAAAACTGTTCTGTCGTCTATTTTTTTTTGCTTTCTGTGGCTAAATGAAAAAGGAAGAAATTGAAAAGTACGTTACTGCTATACACACTTACGGTTTAAACGGCACTCGTCTCCTCGAGGAAATCACGTTTTTAACTCACGTTCACTCTCTTTTTTCTTTCTGAGATAATAATTAATGTTAATATCTATCGTTTCTTATGATATGATTTTGTTTTTAGGGATAACAGGGATTATGATACTTTAGCATGTGGTAGGTCGATAATTCTCAATGATGAACGAGGGAATTAAAGTGATCGATAAAAGTAGAAAGGGGAAGATAGATGCATGTCGAGTGCGTTTCGATTCTGTCTTTTCAATATGATCTTTTTCAATCGTAACTCTTTATATTCTTGCATCGATATTATTAGAGAAACGTGATCTCGATACGTTTCAACATCACCGTGTGAAACGTCATTGTGACGAAGAATTTGTATTCTTTCTCTTTCTAATGGCTAAACAATAATACGTAGATAAGTATACTCTATATTATACCGGGAGTCAGAAGGACGTCTAACGGGAATAAAGTATTAAATAATAAAATCTGAAAATAGAGTATTTAAACTACAGCAGCCTGGGGCTAAAAATCTATAAAATGGAATACAAAAAATGTGTCCAAATCTTAAACGAGAAAAGGAGTATAATAACTAATGAGCTGTTCTTTTTCATTTTTTTCTTTCTTTCTTTCTTTCTTTCTTTATCATCGTCATTGTTGTTACCGTCTTCTTTCTTTTTACCGTTCCTCTTTTCTCATAGAAAAATTCTGCCCGAATTATATGCGGTCTTGTTTCTCTGAACAATGGTTTGTGCGCTAAGAGAAATGTTTGCCTGTATCACAGACTTCTTTCGATAACGTCGCCGTATGCTCCATTACTATATATGCGATCATATATAGAATACACGTTAATTAAATAAATACATAATTTAACGCTAAACCTTTGCTTGCTACTTTGCGATTTAGACAAAGATCTATCTTAGCAAGTATATATCAGTTCGACTCGCAGCGAAATCGATCGATTTTTTTATGCTGAATATCGTGTTTGGAATATTTTCTTGCGTGGATATCATGTTGAAAACAATACGTTCTCGGACTGTCTGTGGTATTTTCATAACCAACGAAATCCACCAGTTTCTCTATTTATATTAACTGTAATACGATATGTGTTAACCACGTCTACCATCGTTCACACACTTGAGTCTGAAGTAACGATTGCTACTCGCGTACTCTTGGTGATTTTTTACGCAAGAAGAACGTACTGTGGAACATGTTCTGAATATGAAAAGCGACAGACTGTAACAAGGAGTTGGAGAACAAAGAAAAATAAAGTTGTACGCTATTAAACTTGAAAGAAAGGGGCCAGCGCATTTAGATAGTTGCAACGATCAAGCTCCAACAGCTTTCAATTTTAAAGCAGCAGACTATCCAACGTTTTAAGCTTGTTCTCTATTGTATACTCTGTTTCTTTTTCTGTTTTTCTTTGTTTTCTCTCTTTTCTTTTGCGTTGAGGCTGTCGAGTCTGCACGATAAGCTAAGCTGTTGATTCTAATTGGCAATATCCATGAACACAAACGAAATCTGACAAAATGTCTGACGCCTGACAGAAACGAAGGAAGTGTTTACGTGGGATTAGGAGCTTGTTGCTGACTGTACTCCAAAAGGGCTATTGGAAACGTCTTGATGTGCGTTTGCCACTGCGCCGACAGTTGGAAGAATTTTACGCCGTACCACTCGTTACCGTCGATGCTCACTAAAGAAGAAACAAACGATTATATTTCATTTAACGTTCAAACTTTTTTTCTTCATATCTTTTGCTAGTTTTGAACAATTTTAGGGCAACAAATTTTTGTACATTATGAGAGACACTGTCTTCAATTAAAAGATATATTATAACTTCATTTGTACTTGTGAAGAATTGAAATGTCTACTTGTTACAGCATTTTATAATTTATGCGTTCATTTATGTTATATTTGCTGTTCCACTATTTTCATTCTTACATCTGCAAGTACAATGAGAGACGTTATTTAAATACATCTGTCATGTATCCCATTAAAATGATGGACAGAGTTCAAATATGCAATTCTGCATGACAAAAGAAATTGAGAAGTCGTAAATGATATTTCGTAAAAAAAAATCTGATTAAAATGTAGATTTTAATTGCACGTACAGCAGCAAGAAAAGGATAAATAATCAAATGGTATACATTGATAACATTGTTTCGTTATACATGTTCATATACGTGATTATGGTCAATTACGATAGGGTACTCTGTTTTTCTTTCGTTATGAAGAACTGACACGTTTTGGATTAAAACATCGCAACATTCTGAGACAATCAGAATATCTTGTTACCTCTTAATGGAATGTTGTGAGTCTTTGCAGAGCATATAAGTCGTGTCACACCTTCAACTGTTTGACTCTTTGGCTCGTTCTCCTTCTCCTTTTCTTTCTTCTTGCCCAGTCTCATTACTGCAAAAGGAATGAATTACTTTAGATTAAAATGAAACCCAATTTCACAAGAACAATCTAATTCCAAGTATCAACAAGTAGCTCTCAAAGGTTTCACCTAACAATTAAACATTAAAAAGGAAATCCAATGCTACACATACTTTTTTGTTTCTTCTCTTTTGTGGTGTAATTCATAGACAAGTAATGACCAGGATTTTCTCCCAATGGCGGAAGTCTCTGAACGTGCAACGCCCTAAACGCTTGTCTCAACGTATTCTTGCCCTTTTCACCTTGCGTGTGTTTGCTCCAATAATCAAGCTGTAGCTCGACTGGTTCCCAGCCTTCCCTCGTTGGTTGACCAACGTTAGGACTACTGGGTGGTGTTAACCTACCCGGAAGTGGAATAGGTAGTCCAGGTGGTGGCAAAGAGGGCGGTGAGCCAGACATAGTCACATTGCTCTCCTCCAAGTCAACTGACGCGGAGGAACTGCTGTCTGGACAACCTACGCGAACGTCGTTTATGAACGGTATAAAGATTTGGCTGCTGTCGTCCGTTTCTCTGCAAAATTAAACAGAATGTAAAGTTGTATGAAATTGAATTTCAATTTGTTCAAGTTTAACTTACTATAGGGTTTTGAAACGATTCGCATAGGGAGTGTTATTTAGAAGAAATTATGTTTGAAGTGTTGTGGTAAGGATAAGTGATAATGTATATATTTATTTATGTTAATAATTGTGTTTTTTTCTTAGAACTCTAAGATGGAATTGTTACAAAGTTGGACACAATTTTTAAAGATAACATACTGCTTAACTATTCAAATCATATTAGGAAAAGTAAGCAACAACTGGCAGTGATTAAGTAGAATAAACATGTTTTTGTAAAATTGATATATTTGAGTAGTTACTGCAGTCATATCAAATTTCATACACTTTATCCAAAATTTGTTAGCTATAAGGATGATTGCAAAATGAATTTTCTACACACCAGTAATGTTTATTTCTATTCTAAATTTATGATAAATTTAGTGTAGTTGACACCACTTTTGTATTTACCAGTATATGAGCCACTCAGAAGCCAAAATGATTAACATTATTTTTTGATATTCTTCCAATTTTAGTATCAAAGCACACGTTTAGTGTTTGATTTTTCATAAAGAAAACAAATTTAGTAAATTCTATTTGTAGAAGTTAGTTACTTTGGCTTCTGAGTGGCTGATGTACGAGTGTAGTACCAAAATAATTCTAAATAGTCCTACCTGTACGTAACCATGGCTTCCGCGATTGGTAACAACAAGGTTGTACCAGCCGCCGCCAAATACTCTGACACCCTAGCTGCACCCTCGCTTGCGCCACCGCCTTCCCTTTCCAGCAATTCTTTCCACTCGTCGCCGAATAACATCGAATACTTGGTGTCTATCGAACCAAGATACTTCGACAATGTATTCGAGCCCAGAGGCACGACCAGAAACCTCAGATAATTGTGCGGTCGAAAACTCAGGTGATCCACATAATGGCGCAGCACCGCATTTACAAAACTGTCTCCTCCGGCGATTACTACTTTGATCGGTGCTGGTGGCTTCGCGGAGCTGTTACAACTATAAACGAAACATTCTGAATTTATTAAAATATTTACATTCATTTATTAAATTTATTTTAAATATTATATTTCTGAATTTGTTAAAATATTTTTCTTTTTTAATATTTCGCGTTGAGACTTTTGAATTTATTAAAGTATTTAATGACAAAGTCATTTCTTTGAAAAGGTACTCTGTTATTTCGCCCCGTTTTACATTTCTATTGAGAAAAGCATCAAATACTTTTCAAATACTTTTCTGTGACACCAAAAATTCATTACTTTAACATAACAAATATATTGCGAGAATTCTGTTGACAACATTTCAAATGACTCCTAATTGTTCCAAAATATCTAGAAATTAACAAACTTTATATATTATATTAATCAAGATTTCCCCAAGGATGTTTCTTCCTCCTTAAACATTTAATTTCTCCATTCTCCAATATTAACTAATTCTTTCTTTTTTAATTAACCACTGTAGTACCATATTGCAAAGAAATCTGTTCTTAAGATCTCTCAACGTTTATCCAACCAAGGAGGGTCCATCAATCTAGAGTCTAGATCTCCCTACGTTCTTCTGAAATTTTAATACGGAAAAAAGGATATGATAATTACAATTTCTGTATTCGTGTGACCAAACACGTGAAAGTGGCACGAATGTCCGCCGGTGAAGCAGTTGTCAGGACTCTATGGTTCCTTTCTTGAAGTCTGGTGGCCAGCACGGCCGCTCCTGGGTCAGACAGCGACACCAACGACACAGCGTCTGGCAAACTGTCATCTGGCAAAACCCGACTTAACTGCTCGACCAACGCTTTCCTCGGCTGAAACAATATGTGTGCTCCGGTTAATGCGTGGCTCTGTTTGATATACGAGCGAAACGTTTTAAGCTGTGATCTACTGGCGACTGTTTCCGCTGTTCAATGAAATTCAATTCTGACTTCGGTGATACATTGAAGATCTAGAGGATTTATTGTTACCTCGTTCAGCTTCTTGTGAAACGTGAACATTTGTACACTTTGTTTAACTAATTTATATATGTATAAATTATTTACAGGGTGTCCAATATTGATCTACAAATTACTGAAAAATTACTTGAAAAATGGTTCAGAGAGGAATTGAATGAGGAATCCGGTGTAATTAATTTTTCTGTAGATCATACGAAGGTGACACGTTTTCCTAAATACTAATAAATGTAGAAAATATTAACGTATTAATGTAATAATAATAATAAAGTAGTAAGGTACAAATTTTTTTCGAATACAGAGGGGGCTCTCCCATTTTTTTTAAATGAAAGGTGGTATTAATTTTTGTTATTTGGATAATTATATAGAGTCAAATTCTAACGACAACAAAAATTCTACAAGTTTAAAACATCCCCGGACTTAGAGGGTTAATAAAAATTCATTACAATGTATGGGACTCTGGAGTCCTACTCGGACTTTCATAATTCCAGAGATGTTCAAGGTAAAGACAGTAATTCTTGGTATAACCACTTTTGCAAAAATTGCAAAAATTTATTCGCAACCTTTACTTTCCATAGATGAATTAAATGAGAGGATTACAAGTAACTGTTTTGAGAATCAGTGCTGAACAATTAAATAACGCAATGAAAACCATCAGGAAAAGAGTATTTATCGTGAATTTTCAAAGAAAGTCAAATATCTCGAAAGGAATCGAGTTTCCAATGACGTTCCACTGAAATTTTCCTCCAATTTCACCTGGAACGGAGTTACAGCACTGTCCCAGTTACTAAACACACCCTGTATATACGCTCTTCACAACGAAAGGGTTAATTAGGTATCAGCGTGTCGTTAAACAACGTACAAACTTCGTTAAAAAGGAAAGAAGAAAGAGCACGTATATACACGTGGGTTGTATGGATCGTGTATTCTCCCTCTATCTACCTCGGAGCTATTCAAATCGGCAGGAGGCTTCAAATCCACGCTGAGGCTGTGCTTCTTAGATTTATTGGTACCCGGTGTACCTCTGTCGCGGGTAAAAAGTCTGCTTCGTCTGTCGGTGCTCTCGGTCTTGTGCTGTTCAGACTTCGGCGGCGAGCCGGGCACGTAATTCGGTGGATCGTTCGCCTCGTGATCCGTCCAATTCTCCGGATGCGAATCACTGTCCGCTCTTCGGGAGCTATCGTCGCTCTGCCTATCCACGCCGCGTTCTGCAACGAAATTTCATTACTCCTCGTCGCAGTGTGCACCACGTCCCGGAGAACGCGCGCCGTTATCAATCGCAACGTCGAGACCACCTCTTTGATATTGTCGCGTATTTTGAAAGTACAGAGGAACAGAATGGGAGATTGAAACGTTCTTACTCATGCGGTAGTAAGATTAATTGCTTCTTTTGACGGATACTTATGTACATAATGTGTAAAGCATGGGTGTCCAATTTTTTGGCTCGCCTGGGCCACATCGAGTGAATCGTCTTATCATTTTTAATTCTTTCAATTCATTTTAATTATTTTCAGTATTAGGAGATTGCTTGAAAGTTTTTTGGTCACAGAGGATCTTTAAGATAGTGACCTTAGATTTCTTCTATGTTCTTTTTTTAACCCCTTGATATATGACAACGTGTCAGACACGTGGCAGATTCTGGTGAAGATGTGAGAAAAATCGTTATATTAGTAAGAAAAATTAATTGTAATCTTAACTTTCGTTTGAATTTGTAAGACTGAGGATTACGAAGTGTAATTAATTTGTGACAGATTAGTTTTTGTCACCTGGTACAGTACTAAAATAGAAAATGGCTGACGCTTAGACGCACGGTCAGAAAAGAAATCATATGTTCAGGGGTTAAATAAGTTTTCACAGTCACGTTTCATGTTTTTATGTATAAATTTTGTATATATGTCACATTTTGGTCGTTGAATTCGTCTCAATGCCTCCTAGCTAATAGACAAAAAAGAACTGCAGGGTTATTCATAAAAAAATTAACGTGGCTTTGAAAACTTATTTTAAAAAGAGATAGAAAAAAAATCTAAGGTTAATTACATTGAAGGTCCTTTGAAATCGTATCATATGTGACAAAACACATTTTGGGGTCCACTAATAACGAAAATAATTGAGGTGGTCCACCCTGTATAATATAACAAAACTTCCTTTATTTTTTATATTTTTCATTACAGAGCAATCGAGTCATGAAAAATATCGCTAAAAATCACATTACTAAAAGTTTACGATCTCGTGGGAGTGCAATGCTAGTTCTCTGATATAAAGTACATATTGAGGTGAGTACACGTGTACAGTAAATGAATTGTATAATGCGTCGCTTAGTTATAGTAAGAATTTTTTTTTACGTATTGTATTATTATTGTACTGCATTGTATTATTCAAGAATTCTGAAGCAGATCTCTTAAGAGTGTTTCAACGTTTCATCGACAATTTTCGAGGAGGACTTAAGAGATAATTCTGACGGAATTTCAGTCGATCCATTTCTGCTTGAAACTGCCGTATTTTAATTAGAGCTCTTACTATCCGGATATCAGAGTACTCGAAACACTCATTATAATCCGAATTTTGTGTCGAAATCCGTGTCTGAGTATTCGAGGTGTCCGTATTCGGATTTTCTTTCAGCTATTAACCCTTTCACTAAATATTATGTTTATATATTCTTCATATTACAAATTTACGCACTCGTTAACTTCATATTACGAAATTGCGCTCTACTTCTGAGTGGCCAGCAGTCAAAGGGTTAAGCGTTACAGAAGACGTATAAAAGAAACGAGTTACCAACTGAGAACAAAATTCTACAACTTTTATTCCAAGGAAACTGCATTAAACTTTCACAAATAAAAAACTTCTTGTCAATCAACGATAAAAAAACAAAAGAAGGAAAATCAGAGAATCTCTATGGTCCTATCCACAAATTACCGAATTACCAAATTTCGTTAAACCAATTTTCCCCGAATTCATCGATCATAGTCTCAACAATACGATCGACAACGTGCGCGGCAATCGTGTGATCGATTAACTCGCAGAAATAAGGCATAGAGAGCGAGCGAAATGCGTCTATAACGCGATCAAAGTGAACAGTTGTACACTAAGGTACTCTACACGTTTAATTAATCGACGTTACGGTTCGATTAGAGTACATGTACATATACATATGTACATATATATATATAATAGTGTATGTGAGAAGAGTACTTACTATCGTATCAACATCAAAGGATACATCACACGCATAATGCAACGGGCACAATAGAGGCATTCGTGATCGAGACAGTCGAGTATGTCTTTTGATTACTTTATTTCTATTTATTCTTTTTTCTCTTTAGAAAGCTTCGAGAAAACTCACGATCGAATGTGTCGCGTGTTAGTCGGTCCAGCGCGACCAGAGAAAAAATGAAAAGTTAGTAACAGAGAGACAGATATTAAAAAGTTGGTAGTAACAAAGAAGAGAGATACGTACGTACAAGTAGACAGATAGATGCGGAAAGAGAGTAGGCCAGCGGACAGGATTTTTGGTGTTACAAGTAGTTCGTATATTTTCTTTTTTTTTTTTTTTCGTTCGTCCAGAATAAATAACTACATAGAGAAAGCCGCAAAGAGGCACACAGACATACGATGTATATAATCTCTCTCGCAGAACGATCGCGAGGTTCGGTCGAGCGAAAAAGCGTCTAACATTTAGCACAGAAAGTTCGATCGAAATGAATAGAAATACAGAAAATGATTAGATAAGAGAAACCAGATGCCAGGTAAACGTTTATTTTCATTGCATTCTCTTACACATGTGTCGTTGTCATTCTTACATGTACGGTTTAACATCTAACCGAGATTGGAAGTGTTGGTTTTTATACATTTCTTTGTACGATGCAAGAACGATAGAAGTAGAAACGAATGAAGTTGAATTTTGTACACACACAGTCTCTGAGAAAGGGTGAAATTTTGTTTGTACATCGAAGATGATGATAGAGAGGGAAAAAAAGAAATTCAAAATGAAACTTCGATCATCCTTGCACAGAGAATGCTCGTGTCCAGGTGTTGTTGTTACTATTATACAAATGTGACTCTAACTTTCGTTTATACTTACAACAAAAGACATTTGGACATCGAAAGGTTATTTGCTAAGAACGGTTTATCGTGATACTATGAGGCATCTAATTAGCGATTCATATCTTTGATTCACGAAACACCAAGCTTCTGCTGATTAGCAAGAGGTCATTCATGCGGTGGAGTTCCTTCTCCAATCTACAAAATTGCGTACACTGCGATATGTATCTCCGTCTCTCTAATAAGTACTGTACTTTGTAACGATTTATCTAGAAAGTGATAGATTTGCTATTATTTCTTCTTTTATGCTCACTTTTAAGACTCGCGATACAAAGCGAGGAGTGGCTCTTCTTTCCGACATTTTGTTCAAATATTCCTTGGCAAGCGGTGCTTGGAATAATTCCTTAGATGTATTATATATAACAGAAACATACACGATCATTTATATCAATCTATTTGGCAAATGAATTCATTTGTCGCCTTTTTGTTTTTGTTTTTTTTTTTTTAACTTGAACCTTTGAAATGAGTAAACGAGCAAGTGAGGGATTCGTTTGGAAATCTGTCGACGGAATGGTTCGTTCTTCGATGACGTGTATGTTAATTTGTTTAAAGTAATTAACAGTTACTGAGAAGGAAAAAGTGAGAAATGTAAGTACGTTTCAGATTGAAAAGTTAACTTTTCAATTTGGCAATGAAATAAGCTCCAGCTTATTATCAATTAGTCGTGACTCTTTTATTAGAAAAATTGTACATAAAAGAAACAAAAGACAGTGCATTGTTCAAGTACGTTAAACTACCAAAAGCACATTTCTTCCTATGTTTATCTCGAATTTTTCAACAGTCCATCGTCATTGTACCAAATACACAACATTCGTCTTTTCACTTATTTCAACTTTCAAGCACCACCTCAAGAAATACCACAGTACAATGAAAACCAACGAAAAAGTAACAGAAAATACATTTCATCGTCGATTCACTAGTGAAAACTGTAATATAAAAAAGATCGTCGCGAGATGGGAAATTTTGGCAGAAAGAACAAAAAGGAAGAAGAAAAAAAGAAAGAAAGAGCATCGTGCTATTTTAGATTCACGCAATAATCATGCTTGCTTGGTGAGAAAAAGCAGAGATCCTTAAAAACAAAAAGGAGAAAAAGAACGATCGAGAGCTAACTTATCCTTCTTAAATCGTGATTATCCGGTGTGCCTTTACATACCTGGCGTAGTGTGTCCGACACGGTGTTTCTCTTTAGCTGGCTGACCTGCGCTCTGCTGACCTATGGCTGTCGCAGGAGTGCTTCCGGTCTCCTCGTTGGTTACTACTACCGAATCGTAACATGCAACAATGCAAAGCCAACCCACCAGACTTTCACTTAGTTAAACAGATCTGAGAACCCGTGTTGTCAACGAAACACGTTTATGTTTCTACGTTCATTTCACGGATTATTATGCACCGTCCGCTTTCCTGATTAGGTACTGTACGCAATGTGTACGACGAAGATGACGTTGCCGTTGTACTTGCACGAAGAACAAATCGTAAAGATCGATATGGCGTAGGATTTGGACTGACGTTAATTGGAAATGTCACTACACTTTTACATTGGGATCGACCGTTGAAGATAGAAGATTTGTCTGTTTCACGTTAGGTCATCTTGAAGGCTTCCGGTGATTTTTTGTCGTTCATGTTGAAGAAGCGTAACTTCACTGAAATTGGACATTCTTGTTTCGAATAATTTGCAGAATGATCGATACACTTTTGCTAATGTATTACGAGAGCGTTAATTTCGCGTGTATAAAACTTTGAATCTCTGAGAGAAAGAAGGACGCGAACGAATCGCGCCGGAAAAAATTATGGTCACAGTTTGGTGGTCTGCTTTGGAATTAATTCGCTATAGTTTCTTAAGACCAGGTCTTATCCTTATAGTTTCTAATCCTTTTGCATGACAACGCCAGATCGCAAGTAGCAAGCACAACTGTACAAAAATTCCATCAACTGGGTATCGAAGTTCTCCATATACCCCTGATTTATCTCCAACCGATTTTCACATTTTCCGCTCACTTGACGATTTAGGAAACAGGAGGACATTGAAAACGCCTTTCAGCAGTTTCTTCAGTCAGCAAAAGTGTATCGATCATTATGAAAATTATTTTAAATCAAAATGTTTGACTTCAATAGAGTTATGTTTTTTTTTTTTTTCCTTCAAAATGAACCGTTTAAAATCGCGAGAACTTTCAGGATGAACTTTCTTGTTTTATTGAGAGCTTGTGTCTTTGCTTCAACGTTTGTAATTGATAAAATAAATACAAGGTGTGACCGAAATGGTGGCACAAGAAGGAAGTGATTTATTGAACAAATGAAAATTTAAATAGAAAGTAGAGGATAAAATTTGTTCGTCCAAGTATTACTTTTCGAAGGTGTTGCTTTTGAAAATCTGTTGGGTATTCGTGTACTTAACGAATGGTTGTCGTATTTGTACACAACGCTCACACGACTTTGTCGTAATTATATCGAAAGCCTGAATTAATAAATATAGTTTGACGACCTAACGAGTGAGAATACTTCAGCGAGCATATGTACATGCATCCATAATTCGACAGACACAACTTTGCATACAGGATTGTGGACAAATTTTTTCTGTGCTTTTTGAGAAAATCAGGAAAAGATCGTGTGTACATATACAATAAAAATATCTGTTGTAGTGTCGGTTTCTCTTCAATTTCGCGTAAGAAATCATCTCGTTCGCACTTGTACCACCATTTCGATCGCATCTTTGTATGTATCACTACCACTGTACGAATTTTCAGTATTCGCAAAAATATTTAAATATATTTTACAAATTGACAATTTCATATTTGTCGAATTAATTTCAGATTTCCATCTAGATTCTATTACAAGTCAGAGATTTTTTGAACAAAGAGTTGATTGAAATCTAATGCAACAGCTCGTGGTATTAGGATCTTCAAATTCTGATAATTATTCATCTGTAAAAAATCTGTTCTTCCAATTCAGATTTGAAGAATGTGTAGATTGGAAATTTTGTTCCACTATTGACAAAGAAAAATCTTGTATTCCACAGAGATAACCAATTTTACTCGGGCAATATTTGACTGACACTTCAACTTTGAAATTCTGTTTACGTTCGCCAGAAGAATCTTCATATTTTCTACGTTTTCTGGCGTTCCAGCAATTTTTCAGAAAAACTCAAAAACGTGTTCAAATCTTGTTCAGAATAGTTGACAGAAATGAGACATTTCATACATCACAAATAGTTAATTTTAAACATCGAAACACCAACCTAAAATCTGTTCAATGTTTTCCAAAAAAAAAAAAAAAACATTTTTATACGTGTGCACTATTTTCTTTTCGACCCGACACATTTTTGTACAGCATAAGAAGAATCGATACAAAATTTAGGTCGGAAATCTTACAGGTTGATACTCAAGATAAACAGTGGCCGAAGAAAGTTGGACTTTTGAATGATTAAAAATGAATGAAAAGTGGGACGGAGGTAGGGTAAGGTGGAACAGGGTTGGAATAGCATAAGCCAGGTCATATAAAAACGAACATTACTCATAACAGACTCGAGGCAACAGGGAACTGCAATTAAACCGTTTCGATCTTGCGACGCTGTTTGTAGGATCAATCAAGTCTCTTCACTTTTATGATAACAAAGCAAACAATGAAATAAAAATTCTGCTGCTATGACGGTTGTCTTTAACGTACACCTCTTAGTAACGCGGTGCTTTTATCAGAGGAAAGATTCAACTGAAAATGTACGAAAGATATTAAAAATGACAAACAGCCATATCATGCCGCATCGTCAAGACGTCGATTATGGCTTAAATTAATAAAATGAGAAAAGAACAAACGCACTTTCTACAAATTTTTATCGTGTTAATTGTAGGCCTAATTTTCGTTTCAGTATACGAGATTAACAAGTTAGGTATAACACTTTATTATTTCTTTCTTGCTGTAATATTCGACCAATAAGCGTTTGTTTTGTATACTGGGTGTCCGAATTGTTTCTGACCAAACTTTGTCAGTGCGTTCTTTGGGTATAAGTAAGAGGAAAATGTTATATGAATATAGGTCGTTTGAAGCTTTGGTAGAAAGTTATAACAATAATACGAAATAGGAAGGGTAACGGGTGTGCGGTTATTATGACAGAAAATAGCAATAGATATTTAGGCAAATATATTTATACAAGCTGTGTTTACGATCTGAAGTCGAAGAAAGCGTTGAATGTAACTTCTGCCACTGCCATTATTGTCTTGTATTGTAGCAACCTCAATTACTGTAACTGTATTTTTGCTATAACTTTTTAACAGAGCTTCAGACGTCCTGTGTTCACATGACATTTTATTCTTACTTATACCCATAGAACGTACTTACGAAGTTTGAGGAAGTTTGATAGGAAAAAACTGGGACACCCTATATATTACTGATTATGACTATAATAGAAGCTTGGACTTTTGAATTTCTCTATTTAATTCAATGCTGATAATTGTAACATCTCTTAATACTCAAAAAATTCTTCATATTAATCTAAAATTGTACTTTTGTTCTAAAAATTGTCGCGATATTCTCAATCATTTAGCTCCCAACGTATCCGCACCAAATTACAAGACAAGGAGTTAAATACAAACAGCAATCGCGTCGTTGAAAAAAAAACAAAAATAAAAAATAATCTTTTGCAGCAAATAATTTGTAGAAAGTGTCTATAGTTCAAATAGTAAATGTACTCTTTATACTCTCTAGCAGAAGCAGAATCATGAGATAAAATACTCGTCGAACAGCGTTTCCTTACCGTAATTTATCTATCTCAACAGAAGCGATAATTACACCGATCTTTAGAGGTTCGCACGTTATACTTCTTTCTTTTTTCTCTTTCTCTCTCTCTCTCTCTCTCTCTCTCTCTCTCTATTCACTCGATGTTACGCTGTGTAACACTTGCTCTGTACGAAGCGCCTGCAGAGATACTCGTATTTGCCAAATCGAGATTCACGTGTTACAAAGTCTACGATACTCAACAACGTTTACACGAACAGAAGCAATTCACTTACCTGAATGAGGAGGCGCGAGAAGTGATCGACTAGAGCTGAAGAAAGGTCGCAAGGATGGCTTCGGTGTGCTACTGACGGACATTGTGTCCAATTCCGGACCGCTGTCCGAGAAATCTTCCAATTCGTCGAACAGCTCCTCGATTTCCATGTCCCCACCTTTAACAATTTCAGCGTACTCTGTTGACGACTTTGTGAAATAATTAACGTGACATTTGTGAAACGTTACCCTTCGGACGGCGGTCGCCGGATCATCACTGACCCGGCCTTTAGGTATCTTGAAACAGAGACAAGACTCTCCTTTCCTCTCTTTATAATGTAAATATGTTCGTTACTGTTAACCCTTTCACTGCTGTTGACGCTTAGAAAATTTGTTTGCATTGTTGCTTTTGGCGCAGTACCATACTAACACATTGCCACCGCTGTGGTAATTCTACCATTTCCTACTGTATCATTTACATATATAGAGGGGTTCTTTATAGGGGTGGAGAAATATGTTGAGAATGTTTAATGACGTTTTGTTTGTGCGGAACCTTTGTTCCCGTATGAGTTGACGTTGCAAATTGATCGAGGTGTGGGACACGGTTGCAGTAGCAGGAAAAGAACTTTTATATCGTTGCCTTTATAGGGGTGGAGAAATATGTTGAGAATGTTTAATGACGTTTTGTTTGCGCGGAACCTTTGTTCCCGTATGAGTTGACGTTGCAAATTGATCGAGGTGTGGAACACGGTTGCAGTAGCAGGAAAAGAACTTTTATATCGTTGAACGGTGACTTTTAAGTAGCACGATACTTTTATTTCACTGTTCATCTCTCAAACTTGAATGCACACATTGTTGCAGTGTCTATTTTCGAATCCAACATCGTTGGAAGCACTATTTCGAATGCAAAACATTGCTGTACGCGTTACTTTTAAATGCAACATTGCTTTAAGCGTTATATTTGAATACAAACATTGTTCGACTCTCTATTTCTAATTGCAACATCGTTGGAAGCACTATTTCGAATGCAAACATTAATACAAGCACTACGCTTGAATGTAACATCGTTAACTCGTACGATTTTCGAATGCACATTGTGGCAAACGCGCTGTCTGTTTACAACATTGTTGCCGCGAATCGCTCCCGAAACTTGCACATTGTTGCAAAACGCGTTATCCGGTTTGCAACTTTGTTGTCGCCAAAATTTCACATTGTTGCACGACGCCCCGTTTTGCAACTTTGTGCTCTTTTCGCGAGAGTCTCCTGGCAACAAAGTTGCAAGCGCGATGCCCCCTTTTGCAACTTTGTTGCTGGGAGTCTCTCCCGAA